GATTTTGTATTTTGGGAGCGGTGTGAGTTCCCAGAAGTAGGAAATCTACCAAGATGTTTTGGTTCAATGTGATGCTCTTCCTCACCTCTGAAAGCCGGAGCCTTCTGACCTGGAACTTAGCAGGACCTGAAGCAAGTCAGTATCTCACATATCTTGACACATCTGCATTTTCTCAGACCTGGCAGCTCCTCAGAAGGGCAGCATAGTGGGTGTTTCTCTTATACCACCTTGATTATCTCCCTTAAAATGTCACAAAGATATTTTCTCTCTCTTTTTCGTTTTATCTGTTTTGAAAGACCACTGTTCAAAACGAACATTTATCAATATAACTTGGGAGCAACATGTTTCATCCTTCCATTTGAATATATTGGTTTGCACACCCACATCCTGCAGCCTGCTAGTTTGGCTGTAATTTGAGCATTCTGTAATGTAATAAATTACTCTATATTTGAGATGCATCCATATTATATAACTGTATAAACAAATATACATTCAGATGCATCAGCATAATTAATTTAAAAAAAGATTAAGCTCTTTTTTAAAAAATATTTTTACTTTGACATCTGATACCACAGTATTTGCATAACATTTTAATTCCCCGGAAGGTTCAGCACGTAAAATATGAAAATATAAACTGTTAATGATACTTTAAAAATGAAGCAACCTCTCCTCTTTCTTTTAAAAGCAGTACAAACAATCATTCTCTTTGAAACTGTAGCTAGTATAAATTAATTTTTTTTATGAACCACATGATATTAAGCTCCTGTGTATGTGGCAAAGGGGGTGTCAGTTTCTCATTTGACAGGAGTGGGAGCAAATACAGCTAATTTAGATGATTTTCAGGTTACTGTAGGAAGGTGAACTTTATCCTGCTCTTCATTTTTACTTGTGAGGCTCACCTGTCAGCTTCTGCATTTCTAAGAAACAATAATGCACCAGTGTTAAATTTATCTTCTTTTATTCCTTTTCCTCCCATCTCAGCTTTCTCAGTTGAAATCACATCCGTAGTTAATCACTGGAAATTAACTTATTTGTAGCCATAAATACCTACTGAGAAAGGAAAATCTGAATTTTGTGAGGCCCTTTCAAGGCAATATAATGCGCTAAGGTATTTACTAATCTGATGAAATCTCTTTGCAAATTTGCAGCTTTGTCTGCAGCAGATCTAGCCCCAGTCCTAAACTGCCTGTTCAGTTTCAGGGTAGAGTGTGATGAGATGAAGATCAATAAGAACAATTTCTGAGAAAATACAGGAATATGAGTCAGAAAGATGAAGAGTAAATCCAGTTAGTCAGTACAATTTTAACAATAACTTTATGGTTATCAACCTGCTACTTGTTGGAAGAAAACATGATGTGATGCAGCACCTTCAGAGCAGTATTTTGAGGGGAATACAGAGTTGGATGAACAAAGGAGACAGGTACTTGAAGTACAGAAGGCACATCAGCCAGAGCTTTAAGATGGATTATCCTAGACCTTTTCTTCACAATGAGTTATTCAAACCTCATAAACATAAAATAAATTACAAAATACATCAGAGAAAAGTTGTATTTCAAATTATAAAGCTTGAAATTACTGAGAAATACAGCACAGAAACAAAACAAAACAAAATAAAAAGGACTTGCAAAAAGATCATGTCCTGCTTATTGTGTTTTTACATGTCTAATTTTAGTTGGTTTCAGTCAACTCAGCGCCTGACTTGGATCTAACTGTGCAATTATTGTTCATGGGAGGATTTATTCCGTTTTTCCTAATGCTTTAAATTTTTTTTCCTGATCTTATCAGTATTCTTTTGAGCTGCGGTCTCGCATCTCCATGCAGGGACTCTTCATTGCTACTGCCATGTCCTGTAATCTTTAGTACCTTCTCTTACTCAGCAGGCATAGTTACTTACGAGGGAAGAAGAAGACTCCTTCATTCCAGGAAATACACATTACCCACTCAGTCTCAATGGAGAATACAATAACACAGAGAACACACATGTAAATCATATAATGCCAAATAGGCTGAAGTGAAGCTTCCATGAAATGGAACAAGATTTTTTCTTTCCAGATTTAAAAAACAACAATATTAAAACACTTTTTTGTCTGAAGACTCCTCTGAAACAGATATTCCATTTGATTTAGATACTTCAGAGGTTAATTTACCTTTCTGTATATACAAGATTATTTTGTTACCAACTGTGTAGGTTTCTCTAGCTTCATATATATAAAAGGTTTACATAAATGCTTTAAAATATTGGCAAGATATCAAGCTTGTAAGGTCATTCTGGAGTTACGTAACTGGAATACAAATTGGTTTGAAAGTACTGTTCAGCATTTTGACACAGAGCTAGGAAAATAATACTAGAGGGTTTTCTCTATTTCAGTAGTGTTTCAAGACCAATAAAATTAGTAACAATTATAAATAAAGCAGTCTTATTGTTGCCTAAAGCAAGAGGAGATAGGTGAAAGCTAGTTTCATGATAACTACCCTTAAAGCAAATGGACTCTTGATCAACTAACACTATTGACAAGGAAGACCAAGCAAACTACCTAAATGTAGAAATTAATCATGTTTATGATAACTTATGTCAAAAATTTGTACAGTCTATAGCAGCTATGAATTCACATTCTGTAAAGGTAGAAGAAGTTTGTTGAAAAAAAACCTAGAGCAGTCTCCGTGGATGTGGGTTTTTATTTGTATGTGTTCATTGTCCTCATGATTATATTGGCAGAATTGCAGGTCTGCTATTCTGACACAAAAGAACACGACTTGGTTGTCATCTTAAAATCTCTGCAGATTATTGTGTGGGATTAGAGAATCTGCCAAGGCACAGAATTTAATTATTTTAGTGACAAATTTGTGCATCTTAGGTAAGTGAGGTAAGGAACTTCCTATGAGAGTGAAGATATTTTGGGATGACCAAATTCATCAATACTTTCATGAAATTAGATACCTTTTAAATAAATTCACACCTAAACATCAATTTTCTTCAAGGAGTTCTGAGAAAAATAGGCACTGAAGGTTCTCTAATTTTTCTATCATTTGGAGAATATTCAAAAAAATAAAGGCAATTTCTCAATTTATTTAGGGTTTCTTTTTGTATTCCCATGTCATAACTATTTAATCTAAAGTGATTTTATAACAATATGTGGATTAATAGCTCCCATATTTATTGTATAATGAAAGTGTTTGCTATATTTGCTAAACTTTCTACAGGTAATTTTAGCACCATGTTATCCCTTATTCTCAGCTTCATGGAGTTTCATGACATATCTTGGCTCTGATACAACAGGACCTGGTCATTATGACATGCACATGAGGAAATTTTAAAACAGCTCTGAGCATTCTTTGTCCTCCTGGCAGAACTGATTGCCTGTGCTTGCAGCTCTTCATTCCCACTGGAACATTCCTTCCACCACCCTTTCTTTTAAAAATATAATCTCTACTTTTAACATCCCAGAAGTGAAAGCAGAAGCGTCTCTTTGATAGATAGTGCTGCTGTGTGAACATGAGCCCCCTCCCTTGGGTTTGGGTAAGCAGCCTAAAATGCAACCATGTGACCTGAAACTGGCATGAAGATTTGCTCGAGAAAGGGATGGAAAAAATCTTTCCAGGAGCTTTGTCTCTTCATCTGTCACCTCTTACCCTGCCTTTGATTGTCTGTGGTATTGCTTATCTGAACCCAAAGCTTCACCCATGGACTGACATCCCAGCCTGGATTTGACCTGTCACCATCCCAATTTCCATGGTCTTACCAGGCCATACTGGGTGCAGGTTCCGCTCTCCAGGTGTGATGTGGATCCCAGTTCACAGGTCCATATCACAGCCTGGGCCTCAGCTGATCCGCATCCCCAGGGAGGTGTGACCAGTGCCTGGGGCTTGTGCCAGTGTCCCCCAGCTGCCCTACCAAGTCCTACCCTGACTGACCCTGACTGTTCCTTGTCCATAAACACAGACCCTGTCCTGCACTGCATCATAAATCTCTGCAATCAAAAGGTATTCTGAAAGGCGCAATTCACCTGAAATGAAAAGAAAAAGAACAGTAAATAGAATTTTCCAGGTAGTTTTAGAAAGGATCGCATGAATACAGTTATGAGTCAGGGTAACCAATGCTCCCAGATGACTGTGTGTTTCCTAATGAGAAAGGACTTAGAAAGCAACTTGAATCTGTCAACTGAGATCCTTTGGTTTGTCTGACAGTGTTTAAGAACACGAGTGTGACTGCTACCAGTCAATTTAGGTTTAGAGCTACAGAATTCCACAAAAATCTCTAATTTTTCACATTGATGAGATTATGGGTTTGGTTAAAATAGAAATTATGCAGATACATTGTAAATTGACAGTAAATTGTAAAGTTTGACTGAGTGCCATACACTGATTTGATTGATTACTAGCACTGTCCAGTGTAAAAAAATGATTATATTAAAATAATTTAGAACAGTTAACAGGGATAGCTCAATAACTATCTAAAATGGATCATCACCTGGTGGGGATTTTTCAGTTGTGTTTTGGCTACCTGCAATGCTGTTAATTAAAAAATCAGACAGAAATATAAATCACTACTGATAACGCTTTCATATGTAAAAGGGGCTGGTACACTGAAGAGTAATAACAAGAGCAAATCAGAGATAACTGGATTATTTAGTAAGCTAAACCCATGCAAAGAAAATGAACTTTAATATAGCTAAAATAAAAGACATATCAAGAACAAGTTCATGCCTACATAATAGAGACTCTTCTGAAAATCAGTTATGGGATGGAAAAGTCTTTTCAGATGAACACGTACCAGAAGAGAAAGTGGTAAGTTGTTCTAGAGTTAGCTGCTAGCCAAAAAAACTCATCCCTCTCTCACACTTCCAGTAACCCTATGCTGTACACAGTGTGATTCATATTTAGGCAAGATAGATCATTACAACTGTAAAAAATAAATTTCATATCACTATGACATGTTTCTTGCCTTTTCGTATTCATATTTCTCTTCTTGTATCATCTTCCTTTCCCTTGTCTCTTTCCAGATGCTCAAGAAATAGAAGAGTGAGATTATCCACAGCTGCAAGGTAATTCAAAACATCATAGAGGAAGATGAGAGAAGCATTCACAAATAGCGGAAAGGGTGTTAGTAGGTCCTGTGAGAAGGACTGGTCCGTATCATCTGTGTCTAACAGTAAAAGGCCAAAGGTAAATGAACTAGACAAAGGGAGTCAGGCCCTCACTCTTATCTGTGATTTCTGAAACTTTCCTTGGACTTAAAGTCTGAACAAAATTGTTGGGTTGAAAAAAAACCCAAATCAATTTCATCTACCCAGCTGAAAAGTCTTAAGACAGCTCGGGCTAAAGATATAAGTAGGAGGAAAATAAGGAAATAAGTAAGCAGAAGTGCAGAGCTTCTACCTTTATACTGTGGTGTATGTACTGTTAGATTTCAAATTCTGAATATAATTTTGTTATTTTCATGTTTTAAAATGTAGATTGAAAAACTGAGGGGAACTGAGAAGAATAAAATGATTTGTGCAATAGCTGAAACATCTTAAAGTGAGGATTTTCATCTCCTAGAATCTTAGTAGGTCATAAGAAATAAACAAAAATCCTAACCTCTGGTAGAAGTTATATTTTCTTCCTTGATGAAGAGAAAATATTGAGAGTTAAGTATTTCTTTTCCTAGTGAAAAAGAGATATATGAGGAAATTAGTGGGCATAAATTGATGCAACAAAGTTCAAGTATTTACATTTTTCTGAATTAATATTCAACTATTTTTAATAAATGGCTACTGTCTAAAGAGGTAACTGAGAACAACTTTCACCATCCATGGAAATATAAACTATCTGACTAGACATCCTGCATGACCTGGCACTGCTCTAAGCAGAGGTGTTGGTCTCTTCTGAGAACACCTTTCAACCCACATAGCGTTTCTGTGATTCTGTAATTTTCATCATGTGTTATGCTTTATGGTACAAACACCCTTAATTTGTTTCATCATAAAAAAAAAAAAAAACCCAACCAAAAGAAAAACCCCTAACAAACAAACCAAACAGAACAAAAAATACCCAAACCAAACCAAATCAAAAAACAAACCAACCGAACAACAAGAATTGATACAAAACCATAACACTTAAAGGAAAAACAGTATTAAGAGACTGATAAAGGAAGCTTTATTCAAGAAACACTATAATATCAGGAAGGGACTTATTTTCTAACATGCCTCTCCATATGAGTCTTTCCATGTCATAGCTTAGTATCTAGGGTCAAATGTTAACAATGCTAAGCAGTTGATGCCAAGTGAGCAGAATAACTAAACCATGGGTACAAAGTTATTGTGCAATAGCTCATAGATATGCAATGTTGAATCAAGGAAGTGAGCTACTGTCTCTAAATCAATTTTACGTTATTTTAAAATAAATGTAATCTCAACTGGACTCTTATATATTAGAAGTTATTATACAAGACTATGTTAATGTCAAATATTCAAGTCCTTTACTCCCCTGTATAATTTTTAATTATTAAATTGTTGTCTTCAAATAAAGGACATGACATTAATGAAATAATACATTTTTAAAGAATAATCAATAGGTTGTGTTTAATTTAACCAGCACTTTTTAGTTTGATAATTAATTAGTTGGAATACAATAAAAAAATAATACAAATACAAAGGTGTCTGGAAGTTCTGACATACGTAGTAATATCAACTTAAATCTTGCTTATTTAATCTTCACAAGTACAAATACAAATAATAGAGCACTTACAAAAGGGAACATAATTACTCTGGTATGATTCAGAATTAATCTCAGAAATAATTAAAAATTAATCTCTCTTATTAATTATGTGTACTGATAAATCATCAAGTTTAAGAAATTTTCCATTAAAATTGTAATCACTATGACTACCACAAGGCACAGTGAATGATAATACTACTTGAGGTTTACTCACATATCTGTGACCTTTCCAAACTTCCTGTATGTGGGAAGGAGAACATTTTTCATAGTTTTCAAATATTAAATCTTCATATACAGCTCATTAAAGAATGTAACAAGGACATATGGCCACACTTTCTGGGGAAAAAAGAAAGTTTTGAGTGATTTTCTATGTGCTCTTTCTTTCTGCTAACCATTCACAGTTAAGCAAAAGTGGGAAAACATTTTATTCCTGGATCCCTAACTTGCTGATAAAAGTTGCTCTTCACAAATGCTCCCTTTGGGTTTGCCTTCACATTGACCCAAGTCTGTGGAGGGGTTCTCTTTTTTATGCAACTTCATGTCTTACAGTCAGCTCTAACACTACTTTATTTTTTAATTATTGAAACAATACATGAAGCATAATATGAAAAAAAGACTAACAAAAATAAGACATGCCAAAACAGAACAATAGCCTATTAGTCACTGCCAAGGACAGTTTTATTTAATTTCCCTCTGACATTCCTTAGCAAATGCATTTATAATTTAAAACATCTACAGCAGTACAAATGCTTAGCCTGAAATTGCTGATGGTAGATTTCAAATTGGATCTAATGTGACTTCATGCCAAGAGTGAAGCAATTCTGTTGCATGGTATCTTGGCTATGTGCTTAAATTGTAAGGACAAATGTATATACATGTGTCAGTTTAATCTTTATTGTGTAGTGTCCATTTCTGTTGTCATTATTCACACCCCGATGGACAGGATTACAAACTATTCTAATTTTTGAGCTAACATTTTTCTGAGTGATATATCCTCATTTGATCCCTTGTCTTACACAATCAATGTAAACATACAAATCAGTTTGTTTAGTTGCTATACTATAACCTCTACATGATCAAAGGGGAGGGTCGTGGAACTTGCATTTCCCTCCCCCCAATAATTAACAACTTTTTAAAATGTTCCAATACTGGTCTTTCTACTTACTGGCTACTCATATATCTGCCATGGAGAGATTTAAATTCTCACATAGCTAATGTGAGTTTTTCCTACCTATTCAGAGCCTTTCAGAGTAGCCAGTGCTGTAAAGGAAGCTGATATGGGAACATTTGGTATTCTTGCATATAGAGGGATAACTGCATGGTCAAGAAATATACCATGTCCAGCCACAAACTATTCATCTGAAGATTTTAAGTGAACTACTAGTTCAAAATCATAGCTTCGATTATGCAAGTAGGATAGAGTCATAAAATAGATGAAGTTTGAAGGGAAATTTTGGAGGTCATCTAGACTAACTCCTTCCTCAAAGTAGTGCTATGTCATAGTTACAGAAGGTTTCTTATGGTGTTGTCTACTTGAATCTTTAATATTTCCAAAGATGGAGATTCTGCAGACTCTATTCACTTGTTCTACTGTTTGATAACTCAAAAGGTGAAAAAAAAGTCTGATACAGGTTTTCCATGATCCAACTTGGTTTTGTTGTCTTTCATCCTTCCACACTATAATTCTGAAATCTGGATTGATCTTCTCTGCTCCCTCCCTTTAATAAACTGTAGACAGCAACAACAATCTCCCTCTGAGCCTTCCTTTCTTCAGGCTAAATGATATGCCTCTTCCTCAGCCTCTCCTTATATTGTTGCTCCAACTCCTGACTGTCTTGGTAGCCCTCCACTGGACTATCTCCAGTTTTTTAATGCTCTTCCTGTACTGGGGAATCAAGATCTGGACACAGTACTCCAAGTGTCTCACCAAGTGTCTCACCAGTGCTACCCAGAGAGGAAGAATCACCTTCCACCACTTGCTGGAGAACATCTAGTGCATCATAGGATGCTTTTGACCTTATTTTCTGCAAGGACTCATTGCTTGTTCCCTTTCAGTTTTGTTTCCACCAGGATTCCATGGTGTGTGTTTTTGTTTGTTTGTTTGTTTTGGTTGGTTTTGTTGTTGTTTTTGTTTTGTTTTTGTTTTGTTTTTAATATAAGGCTGCATCTTGTGAGTCTCCATCTACTAGTCATTCAAAGACAGCCTCTCAATGTCCCTTTTTTCATGCAGCATGAGACATTGGCTTTTGACTTAGTATAGTCTCTGTGAAGATCCCTTTAGATCTCATGTTTATTTTCTTAATTTTTCAACAGCAATTATTTATCTTTGAACATTTTAAATAATTATTTCAGACATTTGAATCTGCTGCTATATAATCTGTTTTTTGTGGGGTTTTGTTTATTTTTTAATCTCTAGTCCATATGTCTTCTAATATGTAGCTGTGCTACATTCTCATATTTCCTTGGTATTTTCTACTCAATTTCTGAAGTTCAGATTTTACTTTTCTCTAACACTTGATTGTTTGTATATTTAAATGCCTATTTAACATTAAGTTTGTGAGTAGTTTCTCTGAAGCCAGCTTCATTGATTAATGTTAAGTGTGGTCTTAATTGCATTGTTGGACTGTGGCCAGAATGACTGATGTATCACCTATTGCAAGCTATTAATGACTCCTTGTAATCAATGCAGCTGCAGTGAGAAAACAGGATGCCTTTTTCCACAGTGAAGGGATGTCTGTCACCTAAACTTAGATACTTGAAACTGAGGTTAAAATTTAGGACCAGAAAATCTAAACTACTAATCTGTGCAAATTGTGATACGATACAGAGACACTTGGAGCTTCACAATATCCATCATCCCTTGCAAGGTAAAGGCTTCTTGGGGTCTATATATTTTTCTCATTATTCCCTTTAGAAGGAATGAAGACAACTGGCTCAGAACAGATGATAAACTTTGTATAACAGAGGCAATGAGAGATGAATATGACCTTGATAATCAAAATTGTGTTGCAACACTACAGTGCCTGAATTATGGTTATTAGTATGCGGGATAGTTTTTTTTCTTACTCTTGTGTCATAAAACCCACAATCATACAAAAGACAGTCCTTGGCTGTTGACTGCATAGAGGTCAAGAGCAAGGCACTACTGCTAAAGAGCCTGGACATTTGAGGACCGTGCTTCTCTGAGCAACTCGTTAGAGGATTAGCAAGACGAAAAGTACATCTTGATCCAATTCTTAACAAGAGACAGATTACTTAAAAGTTCAGTGTGCTAATAGCTATAAAGTATTTAAATTCAATTTCTTTGTGGATAAGTTTCAGCCATTAAATTACACTGTATTACACAAATTACACTGTAGTAACTAATTTTAAATTAATCATGTTGGTATATAATTAAAAACCAAAATAGAAATGGAAAAACAAACAACCAACAACAACACACAGTCTTTCAGAAGGAAAACAAAATCATTCAAAATATAGAACAGTACATATAAAATTAAGTGGACAGAGAATAAAATTTTTGACCTAAATATTAAGGCTTATGAGGCAAACCATAAAGTGGCAGAGTAAACGTTCAGAAGAAATTTTTTTGACCACACTAGAAGTAGGATCTATACAAAGAACTAAACAGATTCATGGATAAACAGGGATTAAATGGGCTGCACCAAGGAGATGGGATGCATTGGAAAAGAAACATTGTTTTTCACATACATTTACTATCGAGGAAGCTAAATAAATCATATCTCTTAAAGCTGAAGCTTCACCTATATGAAAGATAACTCTCAGAAACTTTCTCATATATGTTGATAGATGTGATTTTAAAACAAAGTTAATAAAATGAACATATTGCCTGGACCAGAGATTGTTCACACAATAGTTATAAAAGAAATCATATTTAAAATGACTGAACCTTTTGATGTGCTGTCTATCACCCATAGCATTCTTCCACAGGAGAATTGAAGTTCCTAAACACAATGTCACTTTTTAAAAGGCCTTGGCTAACCTGAGGAACAGTAGGGCAGAGGAAGTGCAGCAGGTAAGAGAATGAAAGCTAAAACACAGGGCACAGGAATTAGAGCACGTAGCAGTGAAAAAACCCCAAACTTGAAACTGACTTTCAGATACATTGCTTGAAACCCCAGCAGGAATATAAATACTGGTTTTGTTTGTAAGGATAGACTATTTGGAGAACAATAACATTTTCATAGGTAATTGATGCTTCAGACTTCCTTTAAGAAGTTAGCAAGTGAAGGAAAAAACATCATCCACTCAGTGTTCCTGTATTACTTCATCTAGAATTGTTTCCAGTTTTCTATGACCTTATGCACAGTATCACAGAGTCATAAAGGTTGAGGTTAGAAGGGAACTCTGTAGGTCAACCTGTACAACTCCCTGATCATACAGGGTCAACTACAGTAGGATTCCCAGGTCCATGTCTAGATGGTATAGTCACAATTGCATTTAGCACTGGAGAAAAATCACAGTGCCATGAATCTCTCTGTGCTCTCCTCCTCTGCTGCTGCCTATGGAGATGAACCTTAGGTGATCAAGCTGTCTGAAAGCAGTGGTGTAGTTCAAAACTACCTGGAACACCATAAGATGCTGCAGACAACATGCAAGTGCAGAAATAAACAAAACGTGTAGTTCTGTGAAGAAAAAAACCCAACCAAACAATAAAACCTAGTTGTCTTGATACCAAGTTAACAGATTAACAGTCACTGAATAAGGCAAAATGTCTTTCAATAAGTAAAAAATATTTCAAAGGTAGAAATAAAAGAGGAAAAAATTGACCCCTCTTATAGTGGAGATAAAGTAAAGTGAAGTTCTCCAAAAGGTAGTATGAAGTTGCTAACATCTTTATATAGTTTATGGAAAAGGGAGTAAAAACCAAGGCAACAAGATTTACTGATACAATTAAATTAAAGAAAACTAAAATATTACTAAAGATTTTTGGAAGAACCACAGAAGTTGAAAGACTTAGTGATAAGTGAAATTCAGTATTTTATATGCAAGGCAGAACTGAAGAGAAGAAGCAACTATGGTCACATGCACACTGATATATTAATAATTATCACAGTTGAGGAAAAGTGTCCTAAAGTCATTTTACATAGTCTTCTGAATAAAGCAGAACAGTGGCCATAAACCCAAGGATATGGGTACAGCCTCTGGCAGAAATAATTTGATTTCCTTCTTAGCAGCCCATATGGTCCTGTGTTTTGGATTCATGAGATTAAAACATGGCTGTTTTGATTGTGGTCGAATAGTTCTTGCACAGAAGTGCAGGGTTTTTTAGTTTTGTTTCTGTTTGAAATTTTTTCCACTCTGCCACTCCAGTGAATAGAATGGGAGAGTGATCAAGAAGTTGGAAAAAGACAAAGTCAGAACAGCCAACCCCAACCAAACAAAAGCATACTCCGTACCGTATGATGTGCTCAGCAATAAAAGCTCAAGGAAAAGAGGACAATTATTTGTCTTCCTGAATAACAAACACATGTGCTGAGCCCCTGCTTACCAGGAAGTGGGTGGACATCAGCATGACAACAGAACACAGGGAATTAATTCCTAATTTTGCTTTGCTTGAAGCTTTGCTTTACATGTTAAACTCTCCCACAAGTTTTTCCTCACTTTTTCCCTTTTGATTGTCTCCTACCACTGAGAGGAAGTGAGAAAGGGACTTAGCAGGGGCTTAGTTACCAGCTGCGATAAATCCACCACAGTATTATAGATTATTATAAAGAGAAAAAAAGACATAGATTTTCCACTCCTTATTCTGGTCTTACTCAATTCACTGAAGATATTCTAAAATGAAAAAAAGTTATGGAAGTAGAAAAGAAGAATAACTTAATGTATTAGATGCCTGCTGCCTGGGGATATAAATAAGCATCTACAAGAAGTGATAGATATGGGGAAATGTATCAGAAAGAGGATAAAATTATGAATGATGTATTTATGAATAAAAAAGGAATAGTAACTCACAACTTATCATGGCTTAGAAAGATTGTAATTAAATTAATTAACACATCGCCAGAATAAGTGAATGTCAGAAACATGAATTGGTTTAAAATGCATGAGATGGTGTAGTTTTCTAATTATTATTTATAAATATATAAATGGCTATCAAATTGTGTCACCTAGATGTTCACTTCATTTAGCAATCAGTCTTCAATAGCTGAGATGGTGCACAAGATATAGACTATTCATTATAATATTTATCTGAATATTTATTATGAGACACTGTTGGGGACAGGGCATGGGATTAGATGTAGTAGACAAATCTTTTACTTGTGCCATCATATCAACTGTCATAAATTTATGTATCTCATAAATCTGATGTATTTGTATACAGTAAATGTATTTAATAGGAAGAAACAAACCTCTCTGGACAGTTACTCATCTGGGTTTCTCAGTTAGAAAAATTTTAGGCAAATGTCTACAATTGTATTGTATGGGTACTTCTCAATGTTTTGCATTAGAAACACTTTATGTTTGTGATAAAGAAGAGATAAGTGTCTATGAAATATTAAAATATATTCCACAACATGATAAGATTTTAAGATACAATGCTGAAGGTAAACATGATTCTTTAGAGTTATTTAGAATCCTTTTTCCTCACACAATTGTGCCAGACACAGATAAACACATCCTTCATGCTTATACAAACTAAAATAATGTTTATAGGATTCTAACTGGAGATCTGTATCATATAACTCCAGTCCTGTCTTAAAAAGTGTGATAGAAGCGTGTCTTAGTAATTTCCAAACAATCTTGATTCAATGGTCCTTTTTTTAGAATCACACAGGCTTGAATAGAAAGAAAAAAAAAAGAAAACCAACCAAAAAACCCAAACACAAAACCCTCCCATGTAATTTTCTTTCAAAACTTGTATATTTCACTAATAGGTCATATCAAGGTGCTGTACCCATTCTGCTAATATATCCCTATATGCTGTATTATGATGCTGCTGTTTCAGATATTTAAAGGCCTTTTTTAACACTCTCTGCCAAGATACGCCATGAATGTCAGAGTGCTTTAAATCAAAACTGAAAACTGACTTGTTTTTCTCTTTGCTTCCCATCATTAGCTTGGCACTGCAAGCTGTGTTATTAATTATTGTACATCTCTTTTAAAGCACCTTGAGATGTCTTGCTGAGATAAGGTACTATGTCCTATAATTGGAAGTTGTTCCCATTCAGTCAGAAATTAGTTTAAAGTACAGTAGAACAAAGTCTTTCAAAACTTCCATCAACTATAAAAGTGTTAATATAAATTAATAGTATAAGGCAGATTTTTGAATCTGCAGCTTATATTTTACAGCTCACAGAAGCAATTATATTTTGCTTTATGCCTTCAAAATAATTGTGTATTCATAGTGATTCACATCAACCTTCATATTTTTATTTAGGTGCAACCAAACACATAAAGAGAAGGGCAGAGGAGATGCAGGTATAAGACTTCTGTTAGTATTCATATGATGAACTTCTGAGACATAGGATTTGCACCATATTTTACTGTTAATGTAGAAGAAGTAATGAGGAAGGCAGATAGTTTGACCTAAGAGGATAGATGCAAAATCAGGATAGTTTCTTGAAGTAAGAAACTTTGACATTGCTAAGCTATTTTAGTTCTTTGGCTGGACATCATGGGGCTTCAAAGAGCATGAGAGATATTAACATCTCATTTGAAAATGGAATTAGTTGTAGTTTTAACCCTGTAGTTTAAGACAACCTCATCTCTAGCAGTACTGTTTTAAAAATGCCCTTGTCTAATTTCACTTCAATTTCGACTGTTTGTTAATAAGAATAGTTTTCTACAGCAGGAGAGGTTTAAAGGTTATAAAAGAGGTATCAAAATTAGAAATTCACAGGGAAAACTGTAGAGAATGGAAGATCTTTGACATTCGGGTTGACTTCACTGCTGAGGCCAAGGCTTCTTCAACTATACAGAGGACTGACACTTCTTCTCTGTTATTTCATCTTCTGGCTATGTATGCAGTAAATATCTAACTCATACATAATTATTTTTTTCCTGCAGATCCCAAATACTTAATATGTGAAGATAATTCTTTCTCAGGAAGTAAAAATTATCTTTCAAAAAATCAGAAGAAAGCCACTGACACAGCTGGATGCTGAATTCATGTGACCAGTGAATGTAGTTGTACTTCTACCCGTTTTAGTTATATAAAAGCACTTTTAGAGGTTCTTTAATAAAGGCAGCACAGATGATTATTTGCAGAAGTACTCTAAGCTTAAAACGTAAGCAACTCTAAGCCTTCTTAGTCATGGACAGATGTTTATTAAAATCAGCAATTAATAAAAAAATTTGTATCTCAAATATGGAAATTAATAAAACAAAGTTGGAGAAACACAATAATTTTCTTATTCTTCTGTGTCTCAGAATTCTTGTCCTGTGTTTGTCATGAGTGAAAAGCTATTTCAGGTATCCTGTGGTTTCCTCTCTGCTCATTTCTGTCAGTGAAGCACGGTATGTTAAATATAAGTGTATAAGAAGTTGTGTAAAAAAAAGGTATTTTGTATTTTCTCACATCTATGTTAAATATGTTTTCACTGTGGATATGGAAGAAGAAGACTTCTTGGTATCCACAGGAAATTGTCAGAGACCAGTATAATGTTCACAGGACAAGCATGGCAACAAAATGGACAAATTTCACAATTTAAGGCTATAGATATTGCTAGGCAGCAATGGACAAACAAAGGGAGAGGTGATTATAAAATCCCAGATGCTACTGAGAGATTTAATGTTTGGTGTCAGATCTAGCCTCAGGTCAAGCTTGGTGGTTAATGGATGCTTTGTTACTAAGTAAGGGATGACCATAGATGAAAAAAAGAACTCACTATGGTGAGGGTGTCAGTCATGACAACATTAACCATTCTAAGCCCATTCACAGTTAAAAAAGTAAAAAATTATGAGGCCAGAATCCTGAAGACATTTATTTTTCATTTCTCAGCAGTCCATGGTCACAAGGAGGAGAATGTAATTTCTATCATCAAGGATACAGATTTGAACCTAATGATACTGGACTGAACAGGCATTGATCAACTCATCAGTTTATTCTTATCTCTTGAAATTTCCAGTTTCAGGAGTAACCTGCACTCTATTTTGCCATTGTGCCTTGCACAATGCTTGAAAAAGTATGTGTAAATACAGTTATGAAAGAGAGAGAAAATGTGACAATGTTATTCAGTGTGGTTTCAATTAAAGCATGCATTGCTTTTTCTCTTTCATAACAGACAGAGCACCCTGAAGATTTGACTAACTTTCCCTCCACCCTTTTCTCATCACTGCATGTTATACCATTAAAGTTATGGAATCTCATTTACCCATGAGCCTGATGTGATATCTTGTAAAAACTTGTACACTTCCAAAGACCATATTTGCAAAAATTATACTCACGCTGAAGATAGTGAAGTGGGTGAACTGTGATAACATTTCCCCAAATGAGGCTTTTATGAAAGAACTAATTCATATTTATTTACATTCATTTTCTTGAAACGACTTTTTTCTGTGAAGAAATTGTAAGTGGAAGTTCAAAAGAATCATGATATCAAAGCTGATGTTTGAACTGACTGGTAAGCTGTGTACACTTAACAAGACCTTGTATTATACTTTGCTGTGCAGTTATCTCATAGAATGTTTAATTTCAAAAGCAAATAATGAGCCTCGATTTCTTTCATATAGTTTCTGGTAAGCAGACATTTTTGATGTCTATTTTAAATTGAACCTGAAGATTTAAATACTGATCCAACGACTAACATAACTAAGTGTATTTCTATTGAGACAGTTAAAAATAAATTATGCTGTTGACTAGAAATAAAATACAAATCTTAACATTTTTTACTTTTTGGTCCTATTCTGCTCTCATTCACCTGAAATTTCTGCTTTATCATAAGTGTTTCATTAGAGGGCAGATAGAGCTAGTACTAAATAAATAATTTTTCTTGCAATTAAATCTCAATTCCCTAGTGTTCTAAAGTGAAACTGGACCTTATACTGGTGGTGAATAAGAATATATTTTAAAAAAGATCTTCTTTTCCTTTCATGTCTTCAAGTCTTAACAGGTTTAAAGTTGTTATCAAGATTTTACAACTTCTTAAAATCAACATTCAGTCTTTCCCCATTATTTCTTGTATGTTGATGCAGCAGTACAGGCCTGAAAAGCTTTGTATGCACTTTTACCTAGTTCAGAAGGCAATTCTTCTGTAAAAAGAAAATGTGTGATAACTTCATATCTGCCTCCTTAAAGGTGCCATGAAGTCACATTTACAGTGCTCACGTGAAATACCCCTGCAGTACAACAGTCAATGGTCAGCCTATCATGTGTTGTGTTATTATTCAAAAATAAATTATTATTCAGTGTTCTTCCAAAAGTTAGATGTCACTACAGGTTCATGTGTGAATAAGAATGAAAAATTCAGGCTACGTTAATTTTTCATAGTGAATTGTCACTAGCACAGGTCAGTAGTGTTCTACAGCTGCAAATCTGATGGACTTCTTTTTTAATCCTGTGGCAATTACTTCTTATAAGCAGTAAAAATGAGATAAAAGAAAATAAAAATATTTTTATAGAAATGCAAAAGCTTTGAAAATTAATTAATATTACAAGAATTTTTCAAAGGTATCAGAATGTACCATTTTGACACTTTCTCTTAAATTATTTGTCTGAATTCTTGCTCTTGTTTAAACTAATCTGCAATTAATACCGTGAAAACCAAGTTTCTAAGATATGAAACATGTATCTTAAACTCTTTTCTGTGAGAAATTTGCTTCGAAATTTTCACTTAAATTGAAAAAAAAAATCCTTTAAAAATTCTGGAAACTCAAAATCCTTTATAACTTAAAAATTACTCTCCTTTCAAGCTTTTCAGCTTTTTTCCTTTTCAAAGGTGGGTTTGTCTTATTTAGTCTCATTGATTTCAACAGCATTTCTAAAGAAGTTTGAAAATATTAAGATGTATAGTCTGTCAGATTCACAATAATTTAAATAATGGGGTCCATATATTGTTTTAGATAAGATATGATTATTGCAATATTTTTTCTGCCCTTATCTATGTCAAAGAATTGTATTCACACTGTTACCCTTTACTGAACCCCAATAACTAATTATGACAAAACCATCTCTTCCAACACCTCTGACAGTAATTAGCTGTCCAATATTTTACTTTGTTCAGCTTCAGAAGCGAAAAATCAATTCTTGTCATGCTGTGTTATAATAAAGAGACTGTGAGAATTTAGCATTTTCTTCCAAGAGACTAATAAATGAACAAAGCATCTTCTAGTTTTCTCACCAATAAACAGTTCTGTACATTCAGTTCCTGCTTAGAAGACTACTCTCTTCACAGTAATCACATCATCTTAGAGAATCTTCTGTGAATTTTCTTGAATCTTATAGCTGAAATTCCTACTAGCTTGCATTATAAGGTATTGAAGTGTTTATCTAAGGCACATGGACTAAAGCAACAAAATTATCATCCTCCATCCATAAACTACACTACTGTACTAGTACCTCATTCAATTATTTGTATACCATGACCCCAACATTTTTTCCTATGCCCTAGCCAGACTGGCTCAGTTGGTAGAGCCTGGCGCAAATATTGTCAAGGTCTTGGGTTCGATCCCTCTGTAGACCATTCACTTGGGAGTTGGATGTGATGTTCCTTGTGGGTCCCTTCCAACTCAGAATATTCTGTGATTCTGTAATATTCTTCCCTGTATGGTAAGAATGACCTGGGTTCCTGGCTTCTAGGCAGACTTGTGTTTGTCAGCTGGAAATCATGTCCTGTTTTAGTGAACTCAGTTTAAGCAGTGACCCAGTTCATTCTGTGTGACTGCTCTGTATGGTTCATAGTTTTCCACTCTGTCAATCTTAGTGCTATCTGCATATTTTGCCGGTAAGGATTTTATGTTTTCTTCTATGCCACTGATAAAAATATTTCCAGATCTATTATTATTCACATCAGAAATTCAACAAAAATGTTCTCATTCAACACTTAGTTGTCATAGATTACTTCAGTGGACATATCAGCCAGGCATTACTATGCTTTAAATGGGTCTTTTATTACCATAATACTTTCCTGTGCTAATCTATCTGCTATAAATGAGCCTACTCTTTTCAACAATAAAATCAAATAAGAAAAGCCTACCAATTATGTTCTTTACAAAGACTGAACTGTCAAATCAAGTATCTAATGAAATTGTGGAAGGATTTATATTATACACAATGAAGTAACCTGTTATCCCTCAATTGTTGCTTTATTGCGGGACTGTCCTTCAATGTGCAAGAAGCTGTGTAAAAAAAGGTATTTAGTATTTTCTCACATTATGTTTACACAGTTAGAACAAGCATTTGTATTTTATCACGTTAGTTCTACAGACCAAGAACTATTAAAGATGGCTTAAAATTTACTGAAAACAATCAAAGTAAGAAAACCACAACACTAGTGCCTCTAGACCTGGTTCTACAACTGTATTCTAAGAAAGCAGAGCAAGAGATGTTTTGTTCTTCTAATTTCTTTTATTTCACTGATGTTTTCTCTGTAAAATTGTAGACCTTATCAAAGTACACAAGAGGAGAATTTAGTGTTTGGTTGTTTTTTTTCCCCTAATAATTTAAAGAAAATAATTTATATATTTCAATAAATTTATATTAGTCCATAGCAATAAGCAGATTCTGAAGAGCTTTATTTCTTCAAAAACTGGATTTGCTTTCATTAATTGATTGATAAATTAATTAATCTGAACCTTTTTTTTGGAGACCACTTTTGGAATTGGAATTTGGAACTTGCAAATTGTTCCAGCTGATCCTCAGAGATCAGAGGGGTGGGGTGTGTCTGGGCTTAGTTTCTGATTATAACTGATTGGGCACTCTGATTGCATTCAATAAGATTTTAGAATTGCTGCCAATAAATGCACTTAGGGCATTAGTGCTAAATATTAAAAGAAAAAAAAAAGAACAACCAATTGATAATTCATTAAGCTTAATTTTACCATCATAAACTTAATTTCACTGAATTATTCTCCTACACAATTGAAGGCACAAATCTTACCAAAGATGTATCCCTGCTTAGGGGAGGAGAGAAGCAAGCCCAACAATTTGTCTGCAAGGTGGGGTGGTAAACTTATCCTCTTCTATGCAGAATTCCAAATGCCAAACTTATACTTTTGGGAGAAGTGTAGTCAAACACCCTGTTGCTGCCGTTATAAACACCTGAGGGCAACCACTTCACATGTAAAGAAAGGATATTGAGAGCTTTGCTTACGAAGGCTGTTCGGGCTTGCACAATGGCGGAACAGAACCATGACATGACACGTCACCTCTTCCACCTGGTTAAGGCAGCG